TATGATCGGGAAATGATTCTCTATCTTTTCATAAGAAAAAAATTTTTTTTTTTTTGAAAATTTGGCGACCCTGAGAACAAGTCTCGGAGACGGCCTGGCGACCCTGAAGGGGTTAACTGACAAATCCATTTGTTTCCTAGGCTTTGTTAACTTACTCCAAAATTTTTTTCTTATTTACATTAAAATTTCTTGACAGTGCCTCTCCCACTCTCATCTGCTCTCCTTTTGCACACTCTCACCACTCTCTTCACCTTTCTTTTACTCTCCGTATATTCTACTATTCTTATAACACTTCTGCTTTGTAAAAACCTCTCATAAGCTACCTTTTTCTCTTTTATCACACCCTTTACTTCATCATTCCACCAATCACTCCTCTATCCTCCTGCACCCACCTTCCTATAGCCACAAACTTCTGCCCCACATTCTAATACTGCATTTTTAAAACTATTCCAACCCTCCCACTACTCATACTTCCACCAGCCCACCTTTCTGCCAATAGTTGCTTATATCTCACCCAAACTTCCTCCTGCCTTAGTTTATACACTTTCACCTCCCTCTTACTTGTTGTTGCCATTTTCCTCTTGTCCCATCTACCTCTTACCCTAACTTTAGCTACAACTAAATAATGATCTGATATATCAGTTGCCCCTCTATAAATGTGTACATCCTGGAGCCTACCCATCAACCTTTTATCCACCAATACATAATCTAACAAACTACTTTCATTATGTGCTATATCTTACCTTGTATATTTATTTATCCTCTTTTTTCTAAAAATATGCATTACTTATCACCAACCCTCTTTCTACACAGTTCAATTAAAGGCTCCCCATTTTCATTTACCCCTGGCACCCCAAATTTACCTACTATTCCCTCCGCAACATTTTTACCCACTTAGCATTGAAATCCCCAACCACAAGTACTCTCACACTTGGTTCAAAACTCCCCACGCATTCACTCAACATTTCCCAAAATCTCTCTCTCCCCTCTACACTTCTCTCTTCTCCAGGTGCATATACACTTACTATAACCCACTTTTCACATCCAACCTTTATTTTACTCCACATAATCCTTGAATTAATGCATTTATAGTCCCTCTTTTCCTGCCCTAGCTTATCCTTCAACATTATTGCTACTCCTTCTTTAGCTCTAACTCTATTTGAAACTCCTGACCTAATCCCATTTAGTCCTCTCCACTGAAACTCTCCCACCCCCTTCAGCTTTGTTTCACTTAAAGCCAAAACATCCACCTTCTTCTCATTCATAACATCCACAATCATCTCTTTCTTATCATTCGCACAACATCCACGCACATTCAGACATCCCACTTTGACAATTTTCTTCTTCTTATTCTTTTTAGTAATTATTACAGGAAAAGGGGTTACTACCCCATTGTTTCTGGTATTTTAGTTGACTTTTACAGCATGTATGGCTTACAGAGGAAAGATTCTTATTCCACTTCCCCATGGATATAAAAGGAAAAGTAATAAGAACAAGAACTATTAAGATATAATCAAAGAAAACTCAGATGAGTGTGTATAAATAAACATGTACACATATGTGTATTGTGACCTAAGTGTAAGTAGAAGTAGCAAGACATGCCTGTAATCTTGCATATTTATGAGACAGACAAAAGACAGTAGCAATCCTACCATCATGTAAAACATTTACAGGCTTTCGTTTTACACTCACTTGGCAGGACGGTAGTACCTCCCTGGGTGGTTGCTGTCTACCAACCTACTACCTAGTAGTCTACCTAGTATGTCTTCCATTTTATCGACTAAGCACAAGAAATCGCCCAATCAACTATTTCAATTACCCAAAAAGGTGATCAGAAATTGATAATATGGCCAATTTCACACAAATTTCAAAATATTCCAATTCAAAACAGGGTCCAGAATACTCAATGCAGGCATTTCTGGCACTAAAATAACGTTTCCTCTGTTTATCTGTTATATTCCTAGGCTTTACACATGAATTAATACCACTTTTCTTTTATTCACACAAAGAATTTTTATTCACATAAAAAATAGAAGATTTACTGTTATGCAACATTGTAATAATTGTATAAATATCAGCACATTCGTGAATGCATATTATGCCCACCAGGTGGATATGTATTAGACGAGTGACGTAATTTGTTTACTCTTGAATATTGGCAAAAATTGAACAGTTCTGCTATTTCAAGCTACTTTCATTTTCAGTCTATTCTCAGTCCTGAAACCAATCAAAATCATCTCTATTTCTGTAATACATACCTTCCATTCTATCAAATGAGACAAAAAACTGAGAATACAACCATACAAAAATACACCGCAAAGCTGCTGTTTTAACCCTTTCAGGGTCGAGTCCCCTGATCTCAAACTTGCTCTCAGGGTTGAAGAATTTAAAAAAAAAAAAAAAAAATTAACTTATGAAATGATAGAAAATCTTATACCAAAGGTAATGTAACCAAAAATATGAAATTTGATGGAAAACTCATGGAATTATGCTCTTGCAAATTTAGTGCTCTCTGCAACATTTATGCATTTGTGATTTCACCCACTTTGCACCCTATTTTTTGGCCAATTCCATTGCTAGAGTCGACCAAATTCATAGCTGTTTCGCTAGTATCCCTTCTATTCTATCAACTGTGTACAAGAAACTGCCATTAACCTATTTCAACTACTTAATAAAGTGATCAGAAATCAATAATTTGGCCAATTTCACACAAAATTAAAAAATTGCCAATTTAAAAATAGGATCCAGAATAAACAATGTAGACATTCCTGGCACTAAAAAAAATTTCCTCTGTTCTACAGTCACATCTCCAGGCCCCTCTTATGCAGACTACTGCATTACTGTAATAATTTTATAAATAATGTCAGTGTATTCCTAAATGCATATCAGACTGGCAAGATTTTTATTATTTATTTAGAAATTTTAGCATACAAACGGAGGTACAAAAAATACAGGTAAGAGCAGCATGCCAAAGCCACTTATATGCATAGCATTACGGGCTGGCTTAAAATTAACTTAAGATTAACTAAGCAATGATGAAATCAGTGATAAGACATTATTGTAAACAGATAACTATAAAATACAAATGAGTATTACAAAGACAGGTTCTATGGTTGCATGCATTGCTGTTCATTCAGTAGAATGGAGTATTCTATTAGGTAGTGTATTTAAAAAAATAACAAAGTTAGGTTTAACATTTGTGTGATATAATTGTGAGTAACATTTAGGATATACAATTTATATGGTTCAGTTATTCAGTATTTATTTGGTTTTGAGTGAGTAAGTGAACTTTGAGAAGAGACTTGAATTTATAAACAGGTAGTGTTTCTTTTATATTTACAGGTAATGGATGCATAGTGGACATGTACTGTCATTGGTGTACTCTGGAATATCAGCAAATATCAAACATTTCTGCTACTTTCAGTCCTAAAATATATCTGTAATATAACTTCCGTTCCATCAAACGAGACCACGAAACTGAGAATACAACCATAAAAGTCACACGAAAATATACCGCAAAGTCGCTGTTTTAAACCAAAAACATGGTCACAGTTTTTTCTCATTATGCACTGCATGTTGCAGGATTTTTTATGTGGTGCACACTCACTGCATAGACCCATTCTCTCATATGTAGGCCCAAATTTACCACTCACACCTTATCTGAGTGAGCTGAGCTCATGGCGTAGTACTGTGGCATGGCCAGTGACCTCGAAGCTGTAGCACTATAGAACAGCCAGTGAAGTGGTTAAGTACCAAATGTATAAAACAAAAACCAAATTTTTAAATAAAACTAAAATTTGTATACCTATGATTGCAAATTTTAAAACAATGATGTTATAGTTTTCATTACTGAAAATGTCAATATACTATTTGCAATTATTTACCAGATTTGATACAACTCAACCCTGAGCAAAACAGTTCTAACAGAAGGCTGTTCTGAATTCAGTGAACTAAGCCCAAAGTTTAACATCAATGATATAGTAACATTGTAACTGCATCAAGAATAAAGCTCCAAAAACCTAGGAGAAGACATAAAATATTACATAAAACTGTATACATAAGGATAATAAATCACAGGAGTTGCACAAAAGAACAGTATCTTCTAGTTTATAATACAAAAATATGTTTGAGACAATTATGAAAATGAATGACTAAATGTAAAAAGACATTTCAAGGTTGACTAGAGTATCAGCCATTCCTAATTTAATTCTGATGAGTGTAGCCTAGCATGGTATCTACCATACTATTGTATTACTGTCATGTAAAATACTACAAAAGATGAAGAAAACATTCAAATAACACAGGCAGATATAAGCAATTGATGCAGCATTCATTCACACATCCATGTAATACAATACAATATGTATCTTGTACTGATGAAGAAAAAGTAATATGACTCTCATACAATCATCATCCATTACTAATGGACAACATATTTTACTGAATACAATAATATACAAGATACATAATATAATAAAATATATATCTTGTACTGCTGAAGAAATTTAACATGATTTTCATGTCTAAATACAAAAGCCATTAATTATTAATAGGAAATGTATTTAAGTGAAAGTAATAATGCACAAGATATTGTTGAAAGGACAGAAGACTCAATTATTAAGCACTTAAAGAAATTCATCATCTCACCTTGTATGAAAAGTAATACACTGAAAAATACAATAAATTCATGCATGCATTTATAAAAAGCCATGGTAAAATATGTACTCTGCACTTGAATATCAAGAATTAAAATAAAAATTAACTGACTGATATTGGTATTCATTGTTTTCCCATTTATTCAGTATACAAAACAGAACAACAATTAAAAGTACTCTGCAACATACAAAATGTTTTAAGTAACATGTGCAATTATCCTTCTTTCAAATATGGTAGATCTGCTGTAAAAGATTTTCATTGCACAAGTTGGAAATTCCTTAAAAATACAGAAATGTGTCTGTGGAATAAAATTTAGAAACAGATAAAAACATGGGTTGTCTTACTTGACACTGGTGACTGGAGATGCCTGATGGTGTGGAGCAGACATGTGCTGTGTCCGCAACACACCAAGACATTGATCGAGACACAACAGCGTGGCTTGACTTGTGGCTTTCAACAGCAAAAGGTTAGGCTCTGTACATCTCATTCCAGTACCTGAATTTAAGGTATAAATGAAATACTTTCATTTTAATTTATCTTATACCTCCCCAAGAAGTCTATGACTATTCCTGCATGTTTATCCTTACTTTCTTGAAAGGCTAACTGTTTTTAGTACAAACTTGTCAACAGAGGACAGTAACAAATTTACTGAAGAGGATTAAAATTATTTAAATAAAAAACTTATTGCTGTTGAATTCTTTTTATTTTCAACAAGTTGGCAGTCTCCCACTGAGGCAGGGTGACCCAAAAAGAAAGAAAATCCCCAAAAAGAAAATACTATCATCATCATTCAACACTTTCACCTCACTTACACATAATCACTGTTTTTGTAGAGGTGTTCAGAATACAACAGTTTAGAAGCATATACGTATCCCTCCAAACTGCCAATATCCCAAACCCCTCCTTTAAAGTGCATGCATTGTGCTTCCCTTTTCCAGGACTTATGTCCGGCTATATAAAAATAACCAGTTTCCCTGAATCCCTTCACTAAATATTACCCTGCTCACACTCCAACAGCTCGTTAGGTCCCAAAAACCATTCGTCTTCATTCACTCCTATCTAACACGCTCACACATGCTTGCTGGAAGTCCAAGCCCCTTGCCCACAAAGCTTCCTTTACTCCCTCCCTCCAACCTTTTCGAGGACGACTCCTACCCCACCTTCCTTCTCCTACAAATTTTTACACTCTCCAAGTCATTCTACTTTGATCCATTCTCTCTAAATGACCAAACCACTTCAACAACCCCTCTTCAGCCCTCTGACTAATACTTTTAGTAACTCCACACCTCCTAATTTCCACACTCTGAATTCTCTGCATAATATTTACACCACACATTGCCCTTAGACAGGACATCTCCACTGACTCCAACCGCCTCCTCACTGCAGCATCTGCAACCCAAGCTTCACACCCATATATGTGTTGGTACCACTATACTTTTGTACATTCCCTTCTTTGCCTCCATGGATAACGTTTTTTGTCTCCACAGATACCTCAATACACCACTCACCTTTATTCCTTCATCAATTCTATGGTTAACCTCATCCTTCATAAACCCATCCATTGACAAATCAATTCCCAAATATCTGAAAACATTCACTTTTTCCATACTCCCTCTCTCCAATGTGATATCCAATTTTCCTTTATCTAAATCATTTGATACTCTCATCACCTTACTCTTATCTACGTTCACTTTCAACTTTTTACCTTTACACACCCTCCCAAACTCATCCACTAACCTTTGCAACTTTTCTTTAGAATTTCCCATAAGCACAGTATCATCAGCAAAAAGTAACTGTGTCAACTCCCATTTTGTATTTGATTCCCCATTATTTAATTCCACCCCTCTCACAAACACTCTAGCATTTACTTCTTTTACAACCCTATCTATAAATATATTAAACAACCATGGTGACATTACACATCCCTGTCTAAGACCTACTTTTAATGGGAAGTATTCTCCCTCTCTTCTACACACCCTAACCTGAGCCTCACTATCCACATAAAAACTTTACAGCATTTTGTAATTTACTACCTATTTATTTATTTATTTATTTAGTAATTTAAGCATACATACAGAGGTACAAAAAATACAGGTAAGAGCAGCATGCCAAAGCCACTTATATGCATAGCATTACGGGCTGGCTTAAAATTAACTTAAGATTAACTAAGCAATGATGAAATCAGTGATAAAACATTATTGTAAACAGATAACTATAAAGCACAAATGAGTATTACAAAGACAGGTCATATGGTTGCATGCATTGCTGTACATTCAGTCGAATGGAGTATTCTGTTAGGTAGTGTATTTAAAAAAATAACAAAGTTAGATTGGGTCCTAGGTTTAACATTTGTGTGATATAATTGTGAGTAACATATAGGATATACAATTTATAAGGTTCAGTTATTCAGTATTTTTTGGTTTTGAGTGAGTAAGTGATCTTTGAGAAGAGACTTGAATTTATAAACAGGTAGTGTTTCTTTTATATTTACAGGTAATGAATTCCAGATTTTAGGGCCTTTTATGTGCATTGAGTTTTTGCATAGCGTGAGATCGACACGAGGAACATCAAAGAGTGATCTGTGCCTTGTGTTATGGTCATGTGTTCTGTTGAGGTTGGCAAGATGTTTGAGGGGAGGGTTAATATCAGAGTTAAGTGTTCTATGTATGTAATAGGTGTAGTAATAAGTATGGATGTTTTGTATGGTGAGTAGGTTGAGTGTTTTGAATATTGGTGGAGTGTAGTGCCTGTAGTGAGAATTTGTTATCATTCTAACTGCAGCCTTTTGTTGGGTAATTAGTGGTCTGAGATGGTTAATTGTTGTTGAGCCCCATGCACAAATTCCATAGGTGAGATAGGGGTAAATAAGAGAGTGATAAAGGGCCAGGAGGGCTGACTGTGGAACATAGTACCGTATCTTCGATAGTATGCCTACAGTCTTGGAAATTTTCTTAGAAATTTGTTGTATATGTGTATGAAATTTGAGTCTATTATCAAGGTGGATTCCTAAGAATTTTCCCTCTGTTAGCTTTGTGATAGGTGATCTGTTTATCATTATGTTAAGAGATACATCTGTAGCTCTGTTACCAAACTGAATGAAGTAGGTTTTGTCAATGTTTAGTGTAAGTTTGTTAGTCCTCATCCAGGTAGATATTTTCTGTAATTCGGTGTTTACAGTATTGGCTAGCGTGACTGGGCTCGGGTGAGAGAAGACGTATATAGTGTCATCTGCAAAAAGTGTGGGTTTGAATAATTGCGAAGCATTTGGTAGGTCATTTATGTATAGGAGAAAGAGAAGAGGGCCAAGGACACTTCCCTGTGGGACACCAACTGTAATTGGTTAAGCAGAAGAGCTTGCCCCATTTGCATACACATATTGGCTTCTGTTGCTGAGGTATGACTTGAGGTAGTTGAGGGAGTGCCCTCTAATACCATAGTGTGACAATTTTACGTGGAGCAAGTCATGGTCAACTGTATCAAAAGCTTTAGGTAAGTCAATGAAGATCCCCAGTGGACTTCTTTTTTCTCTATTGCAGTGTATATATGTTCTAGCATGTGTATAATAGCATCATTAGTATTTTTATTAGGCCTGAATCCAAATTGGCAGGGGTTGAGAATGTTTTGGGAGATGAGGTAGGAGTAGATTCGTTTATGAATTATTTTTTCGAAGATTTTTGAGAGAGGGTGTAAATTGGATATTGGCCTATAGTTATTCAACTCTGTTTGGTCTCCTCCTTTATGGATCGGGGTGACCCTTGCTATTTTGAGAGCTGTAGGGAAGGTGGAGGATTCAATGGATTTGTTAAAGAGTGTTGCAATGATTGGTGATAGTACTTGTGACACTTTTTTGTATATAAAGGGTGGTAAGGTATTTAAATCTCCTGCCTTGTTTTTTAGTGTGTTGATAATAAGGGAGACTTCGTATGGGTTAGTCGGAGCTAGGAACAGTGTGTTCGGGTAGTTGTCAGTCAGGTAGTCATTTGGTGGGGTATCTGAGCTTGGGATTTTATTAGCAAGGTTTTGTCCTATAGTGGAGAAGAAATCATTGAGTCTGTTTGCTGTTTCTGTTGGTGGGAGTTGGGGTTCATCTGATTTTGCTAATTTTATTTCGCTATTTCGTGATATCTTTTTTGTTCCCAGAATTTCTGATAGGGTTTTCCAGGTCTTTTTTATATCACCTCGTAAGTTGGATAATCTGTTCTCATAATACAGTTTTTTTGCCCTTCTTATCAGGCTGGTTAGGATTGATGAGTAACGTTTTGTTTGGTCTCTGGTTATGTGACCCATTCTGTACTGTTTTTCATATCGGTGTTTTGTATTTATGGATTTGAGAATGCTGGGTGTTAGCCAGGGACTGTTCAGTCTCTAGCTGTCATCTGTTTAGTTTTTTTAGGGCAGTGCTTGTTATAGAGGTATTGGGTCTTTTTTAGAAAATTATTAAAACATTCGTCAATATCTGTATAGATTTCTAGCTCAGTGTGCCAGTCAATGTTTGTTACTGCTGTTGTGAAGTTATTAATGGCTGCCTCATTGTGAAGTCTGAAGGTGACTTTAGTAGTGTCTTGGGGTATTTTACCAAGAGTTGTTATGAGGAAAGTAGGGTAGTGGTCTGTGGTATTATCTGTAATTATGCCTGATTTTAAAGGGGATATGGTGTTGGTCCAGATGTGGTCAAGTAGGGAAACACTAGCCTCCGTAACTCTTGTAGGTTTTGTTACTGTTGGTAGCAACATGCAGTTACTCATTGTGTTTGTGAATTCAGCAACGTGTGGGTCCTGGTCTTGCAGGAGATTTATATTGAAGTCACCTGAGAGTAGTAAGTGATCTTTGTTCATGCGTGCATCAGTTATCATACTTCCTAGGTTTTGACTAAATTGGCTAATGTTTGACTGTGGAACTCTGTAGATGTTTATCACCGTGAGTGGTTTTTGTAGGTATTTGGATTTGAATTTAGCTATTATATATTCCCCATGTTCATCCCTTGTGTAAGTATTAGTGATACATTCTAGTTGGTCTGAGTAGTATATAGCTGTGCCACCCCCTTTGTTGGTCTGGCCTACAGTTGTGTATGGCTGTGTAACCAGGAATGGCATAGACATCTGTAGTATCAGGCTTTAGCCAGGTTTCAGTTAGTGTAATGATGGACATATTGGCATGCAAGGAATTTAGTAATGCTAGGAGGTCATCGTAATGCTTGCTTAAAGATCTGATATTGTAGTTAAAGATAGTTATGTTGTTGTTGGCTCTGAGAAGTGCCTTTGATTGTTCTGCTGTGTAGTAATTACAGTAACTGTTTGAATCATTTAAGTCATTAAATAAGAGGTTGGTATCAGGATCAATGCTTGTAATCATAAGATTTGTAGAGAATCTATAGTTAGAATTAAGTATAAAACAGGAGCAAGGAGCTAGTAACCCCTTCTCCTGTATATATTACTAAATGTAAAAGGAGAAACTTTCGTTTTTCCTTTTGGGCCACCCCGCCTCGGTGGGATACG